TTTTACCTTAATATAAAGGATGTAGCTTCAAGAATGAAGCAATTATTCTTATCGATGTGATCCTTAAGGGACTTGTTAAGAGTTTTAAGAATATGCAAGATATTTTAACTTCATCTACAATTGCTAAATGCTTGGAAAAAATTTATGATAATCCCAAAAATCCTCTTATCTGGTCAAAAGTATTTTATCAGATAAAGGGTTTGAATTTAAGGGTGAATGTGAAAAACTGCTAAGAAAGCATGATGTGAGGATTCAGAAGGCTAAGTTTAAGAAAACTATAGGTAATATTGAAAGATTTAATAAAATGTTTCAAGACGATTCTATAGTATTCTTGATGCATATGACTTATTGGATACCTCTTTTGATATAATAGAATTAGAAGATCTACCAGGTGTTGTTGATTCAATAGTAGAAGATCTTAATAACTCTGTAACTCGCTTGCTTAGTATGACTCCTACAGAGGCGATAAAAAAGAATATTATCTTTATCAAGTCTTCTAAACTTCAAAAAGGGCCTGTAAGGTATGATGAAGAAAGATTATCTTATGATAATTCCATTATATATCTGCTTGATTCTAGTGAATATGAGAGAGGAAGAAGACGCGCAACTGATATGAATTAGTCTACTAAGATTTATCAGATCTGCGAATCTTTAATACAAAAAATCAGCCTGTCTTATACTGGCTAATAAATGATGATGGCAATGGTCTGGAAAGGTCTTTTGTAAAAGAAGAGCTTCAAATCGTTTCTCCTGATGTGGAGTATCCATTATAATAGGTGCTTATAAATTAAATTGATGATATGAAGTCTTCTACTTCTTTGTCAGCTCGTGCTTTAGTATTAAAATTATTCTTGACTAATCTATAGTAAAGTATATATAACTCCATAATAGAATTAAGAATTTCTGGATCTTTACCATACCAATCTTTGTATTCACCCATAATTTTATTATATTTATTATTGAAAAATATTGTTTGAGCTAATTTTTGAATATATTCTTCAGGATCTTCTGCCTAGCATAATTTATTAATTCTTTATTTATAGCTTTGCATGAATTTGCCTTTCTTTGGCCTTCTATAGTATAATCTTACCTTGATCATATTTATTAGTGTCTTTTTGACTTCCTGGAAGGTGGGTTTGCTTTCAGGCAATTAAATTTGCGTACTCATTATATAATTAGTATATTTATTATTATATTGCATATAGATTTATTCAATTAAAATTATTTATATATTTAGAAAATGAAAGCAGAATTTATCTTCATAATTCTGGTAATATTTGTGATAAAGCCTGTACTTAGCCTGAAAGTTGTCAATCACACTTCAAAGCTAAGATGCGCCAGTTATGCTCTATTTGTAATAAACCTACTAGGATAGATAATAGCCTATGTAGCGATTGTAATAAGAGCAATTATTAAATCCAATATGTAAATAGGCTTCAGGTTAAGGCTCAGATGTATGATCAGTATACTTTAACCTATAAGCCAAAAGTTTAACCTCTAATTTATAAGTCTAACCTCTTATCTAGAAGTCTAACCTCATTTTGACCTTATGTTTATGTAAAGAGATCAGTTCTAGAATAGTTTCTAACATATTATAAATTTGATATATGACAGGAATATATTATTTTTTTTTGTCTAGAAAGTTTTCTTTGATAGATACTAAGTTTAACTTTTAATTTATTAAGTCTAATCTCTAACTCTTAAGTCCAACCTCTGGTGTAATTTTTGACCCTAACTATTTGAAATTAAAACGGTTCTAGAATGGCTTCCTGTATATCAGAAAAAACTAAGTATACAAGAAGCAATTCCTTAGCTTTTAGAACTGTAATTTGTTAAATAGCTAAATCTAACCTCAAAGAGGTTAAACTTAGTATTTTGGTATCTGAAGGTTAGACTTCGAGATTTTTGGTGAGACTTAGTGACATTTGTTTATGATCATGAATTAACTTTAGAATTATTTTTAGGATATCGTGAAAATTAGTATGCATCTTTAGCTTGACAAGTTTGTAGTCTCGAATATTTCATCACTTCATTCCTCAATATTCGAGTTTACTTCTGAAGGTAAGCAGTATAGCATAAATATTAGTATACATAAAAGGTTTGCAAAGACTCTACGAGCTTAGCTTCAAACCTTTAGTTCTTGCCAATCTCACGTTATCTCAAATCTAAACAAAATGGTATAATTTTTTTGATATTTAGATTGGGTTTAAAATTGCGCTAGAAAGGTTATAACAATTTGGTTGATTTTAGTTTCTGAAGCATACATTTTATAGCAAGGAGTATGATAACGAAATTGAGCACTGGTGTAATTTTTAGACTTGAATTCTATAATATGGATTCATATTGCTAGAAGGGCTTTAGACTTATGATTGGGAGCTTTTTTGGATACTTTTCGAATTCTGATCCTAAGACCCTCAAATTTGCCCTACTAATATAACTGAATATAAGAATAATATATTTTTAATTTTATTAAATAAAAATACTATTTAATTATATTAATATTAAAATTTCAAATAATAATATATTTTTTTATTTAAATAATTATAATATATATATATAATTTATTAAATAATAATAAAATTATTATGTTTATAATTTATTTATTTTATTTTTTTAATCAGAAAAAATTATTATATTATTTAAAACTATTTTTTAATTAATATTAATTTTGTATATTGATTAATTTTAAAATTTTATAAATTTTATTTAAAATATAATTTTGATTTATATTTTTTAATTTATAAGTTTAATTTTAATAAAAAATACTTAAAAAATATTCTAATATTTTATTTTAATAAATCATATACCTTTTTCTTTGATTTAAGTAAAGTATTATTAAAATTTTCTTTAAAATAACTTTTATATTAATATTAACTTATAATTACTTTTTATTTAATCTATAAAATTTATTTTTTTAATAAATATTATAAATAAATATTTAATATTAAGATCTTTTCTTATATTAATAAAATTAATACTTTTAAAATTTTATAAATATTTATTATATTAAAAAATATATATATTTATTTTAAATTTTTAATTTATATATTTATTTTATTCAAAATTATATTTTAATATAATAAAATTATTAAACAAAAATTGTTTCTTATTTTTTTTTGGATTTTAAATTTATGAATTTAGTAATTTTTTTATATATAAAGTTAATACTTTTATTTTAATAAAATAATCTTATAAAATATTTTTAAATTACTTGCATTTTAAATAATAAGCACTTTGCAATAAAAAAAAAAAAAACCTAAAAAAATTATTTTTAAGTTAATTTTAAACCTAAACTTATTTTACAAAAAAAAAATCTTATTTAGCTTAAAAAATAAAAAAAATTTTTTTTGGTAGTTTTTTCTTTTTTACTGTAAAGTAGAGGTCCGAATCGGTCAAAAATTTAGTATTCGATTAATCAATTGTTCATAAAATTTATAATCGATTATATTCAAATTAATCGTTGATTAATGACGATTATTCAAATTATCCAGATCATCCGAATAACCGATTAGTTGAAAGAACTAAATCTTCAATACATTAATTAAAACAAAAAAAATATATATTTCGAACTTATCTTTATTATCAACAATAATAACAAATTATATTTTACTAATTATTCCAACTATTATTTTTTGCTAATCACTATAATCAGATTAACATTTTTGTCAAATAGAGGTTGAAACTGGCCAAAGTTCTTTAACCGGTTAATAACCAGTTAAAAATATTCGTTAACCGGTTAAAATTAACTTATGCCAGTCCTATAAATTTGGCTGGAGTTAGTTAATATTTTGACAATCATAAAAATCTAAATTCTGGCCGGAAGTTGAATTTCGGCCGGAGCTAAATTCATCTATTTTAACCGGTAAAAAAAAATCATTAACCGGTTAACATGTTAACCGCCTTATCCTGTCAAAATTTTCGTCTAATCGATCATCGTAATCAGTTGGTCATATGATAATTTGACTACGGATCGAACGATTCGGACCTCTACTGTAAAGTATTCAAATATGAAATTTTAGTATAAATATAATAATTTATATTAAAATATTAATATAAAATTTATTTTTACTTATTATTCTAATATATAATTTAATTTTATTATAAGCTTAAACCTTTATTTTATTATTCTAATTTATTTTTATAAGTTTGATAGTATTTTCTTCTATAATTTATTTTCATTTTTAATATTAATCACAACATTATTCTTTTGGTTTAACAAATTAATTCAGATAATATTTTTGATATTTATTTAAAATATTTACCTATATAATTTTTAAGCAATAAAATTATATATTAATTATTTTCCAATAGATATGATGGTCCGTCTCAGATCCATTAGTCGAATTTTTGATGCTGTAGTGGCCAAGCCCTCTTCTGTTTCTTTATATTTTCCTAAAAAGTGATAGACTATATGATTTTAATTATGAATTTAAAATTAGCATATAAATTAATTTAAATACATATTTTATTTCACTATAAAAATCAATGTATATCTCTTTTATCAAAAATTTTTATTAATAAAAACAATGTATATGGATGCTTGCAGCAAAGAAAGAAAACTACAAAAATTTACTTTATATATTAAATCTTGAATTTTTTATTATTTAATATTATCTAAAATGTATATATTTTTTTTTAAAAAGTTTTTCCAAGCGTTCATATCGATATGACTTAAAAACTGACTGTATAACACTGATTTTATTTAACTTACCATTGATATTCTGAATAGAATAAATGGTTATTAAATGTAAATGCAGTAAATTAAAATAAATAAATAATAAGTGATACAATTCAATTTTCAAAAAAAAATTGGGCAGCTAACATCTTTATTTTCAGTAAATTTACGTAAAAAACCACATAATTTTTCAAAATGATACTGCGCCTAGTTGCTTCCTTTTAGTAGTTCGGTTATCTTTTTTGGTCGAAATAGCGCTAAATTTAAAAAAATTATTTGTTCTTTAAATTTTTTTTTCAAAGAAAAAGAACCCCGAATCAACATTCTAGATAATCGAGCAACAACCACCTTTTACATTTGTTAACAGTTCTATATCAGCAAATAAAGGAATTTTTACTCTAGCACGGACCTCTGTTTCTCTTGACTGATTCCTTACTTCTTTCACTTCTTCAATGACTCTTTTTTCCATCTCTTTTATCTCCCTTTTTATCCTATTTTCAGTTATAACGTTTAAACTACTCGCATTTGCGATGTCTTCGTATTCTTTCACTTTTAAGTTTTTAACATTCATAAAATCATTAACTCTAACGCATATATTATCCCAATTATCCACTTTGTAATTGTCCCCGCAATAATTTAAATATTTCAGTAATATTTTTCGAGAATTTTCTCTGTCTTTTTTATTATCCTCTAATCTTCTCTTACTTAGAGGAGGATTATTTACATAGACGATATCATTACAAGAATCAACCAATTTAAAAATTTTTTTATTCTCATTCTTTAAATTTTCTTTATCTTTATTACATTCTTCTGGATTTTCGAAATCTTCAAATCTTGTTCTGACAATAGTAGTGTATTTAGTAATGCCACTCTCAAAAATAGCTTTTTTGAGTAAATCAAAAGTTTCCACTTCTTCTTTGGTAAATCTTCCTCCTATGATCACAAATACTTGTTTTATTCCCTTCTTCATTGAGTGGACAGCTTCCCCGATCATATATAAAACTTCCTCTTCGGAATTTTTGGTATCACCAACTCCGATAGTATCCACAATACGGTATTTCGTTCCATTCCATGTAAAGTCTTTGGTTTGAAATCTTTTGGTTTTACTGACTGAACTTCCGCTCTCCCCAAATTCATCAGTATTGCTGATTACATTAGCCAAAGTAGATTTACCACCACCCGTTCGCCCAATTAACAATATATTTTCCACGTCATCCTCTTGTGTTTCAATTTCATACTGACATTGATTTATCAACTCACTGTTCGATTTAATTTTCTCTAATTCTTCATTAGCTAGCTCCTTTGTTCTGTAAAAACCCATCAAGTCAGGAAACCTCTTGACCGCTTTTATTTTTATCTCATTTTCATCCTCATCATAATTAATCACCCTAATAGCGTATAAACTGGCTACCTTATTAATAACTATTGCATAATTTTTATTATTTTCAGTAGTAACATAATCAACCGACTTAATTTTTCCGCGAACCGCGGCCTTTTTCACTATCTCTTTGTCTCTTTCCCTATTCATTCCCAAAATTTTAATTTTTTCACCTTTATTCTAAAATCGATGTTATAATGACAGTATTTATAAGTAAGTGATTTCACAAAATTAAGGATAATCTGATTCATTCGTTTATACTTTTTGTGGTTTTTTTTTGTGTTTGTGTGATGTTCGATACGCCTATCATTTGCATTTTCATCCCGGATAATTCCTATTGCTGCCCTTTTTGAATTCTTCATTTAAACACTTTATTAAACAATACGATTAAATTAAATATTATTACATTAAAATGATTTCTTTTTTAAGAAATAAAGTCTATGATCCCTCCCTCGAAGTAATTTCTTTCCAAAAATGTGCTTACAAATAGGGTTTTATTAAGTTGTGATTATATAGAGGGATAAAAAACTTAGGAATAAAAAGTTTTCAGAATATGGTGTGATTATAAAGAGAGTCCGACTTATAAAAAAAAATCAACCATTAAAATATAACAATTATTTCTACTTCTTTGATAACTTAACTAATTGCAAAAAAAAAAAAGGACTTGATACTAAAATAAAATTTTATTAATATTTAAAACTACAATAACTTCAACCATTTACAAGGCATCAAAATTAATAAATCTTGAAGCTTTTCTTTTCTCATATTCATCTTCTCTCTACAAAATTAACAAAAAAGTGTGAAATTAATATATAAAGAAATAAAACTTTTCTTACTCCTCAAAATCTCTTACCTTTTCTATATAATTCAAAATGAATACAACGATGGCTAAAATTATTGTCACAATAATTAAAATCATTAGTACCCATGGTACCCAATCACCCGGATGAATATATAATTCGATTGACCATCTGTTAAAAGAAGGGTCATACGTTAGCATTAAAAAACTTTGTTTGGTTTGGATATTATCTCGGATAATTCAATTTTGACTCACGAGGTTGGATTATCAACTCCTTCGGGTTGATAAGGAACGATGATAAGTTGTGAATTAGGTATTACTCCTGCTAAACTGGTATAATATGAACTCTAATAATATTAATTTGTGTGTAAAAGTATGAATTTTGGTCAACTTAATGAAATGCGTCAAATAAATACATATATTATGTCAAATTGATAACTTACCTGATTTCTTGAAACTCCTACGAATAATTCTTCGACGTAATTATTTGTACGACCAAGTCCAAAAAGCGAATAAGGTGTTTGTAATGATAAATATCCACTCTGTGAATATTGTGCAACTATTTTATATGCAACAAATATCTTAGATATTAAGATAAATTATTATTGAAAAATATATTACAATTAACATACCTTGGTTGGCTCTTTTCCTTCCGGATGTATCAAGTACAGTGAATTTAAATTCTGCACCAGGATAATTTACTCCAAAATTCTATGTAGAAGAATATCTTAATGAATTTTTTTTTGATAATTTATAATGATATTACAACCAACCTGTTTGTGTCCCACTCCGTTTAATACTATTAATTATATTAAAACAATTTCTTTAGTATGCGCTCCAATTCATGCGTCTAACATAGTTGATTCAGACAACATACCTAGGGTCTTAAGGAAGAATGCATCATTAAAATAATTGTTGTGTATCATTTGTATATCTCTTGCCGCTGTTTTACCATGAGTAGCTGTGAATACCATAATATCCATCGTTCCCTAATAAAAGAAAATTTATTTATATCAAGCAAACTTTTTCCTCGTGGAAATAAAAATATATATAAAAGGTTCTATTACATCTTCATCAAGGTCAAGAAAAGCTGCATTTTTGGCAGTTTTGATATTATAAAGAGGTTGAGCACCATCATTAACTTTGACAAATGTTCTTCTCTGGGATGCAGCCGCTAAACCATGACACTTGCGGGTTGTACATAAAATTGACTCTAGCAGCGTTACATGTGATTCTTTACCGTTTGAGGTGACCACAAGTAAATCTGGATATCCATCAAGATTATAATCGCCTAGAAAAAAAAAAGATAAACTAGTTAATAAACTGTACAGGTATATAAGCAAATTGATTGAATGTGATTTACCAATACGAAGAGAAACAGGTAGAATTCCATTAAAATCAGGATCCAGTAATACAATATCTTCTCCAGTTGGCAGCTCGTCCTGAAGATCTAAAACGACATAATTCTAAATATATAAATAGAAATATTTAGCTCGATAATGACCTTATAAAAAAAATAATTTTTTTTTTTTTTTTTTTTTTTCAAAAAAAAAACATCTCACACTATTTGACGCATCCGTTGTCATATCAAAGCTGAAATTATCATCGGCTATACATAATTCTGATACCTTTCTACAATTTTTAGAATTTTTGTTTTCGCAAAGTGGTATTTGATTATTATATGCTACATGAATCTTGCATCCATTGTTACATACTGGAAACACCATATCTAATGTTCCATCACCATCTAAAAAGTCCATAAAGTAAATAAGTTTCAAATTTCAAATTTCCAAAAATCAAATTTTTTTCAACCCACCCATATCCGCAAATGATATTTGACCAACGCCTTGCGGTAAATCGCCAAATTTGCTAAACACATATCCATTAATTGTACTCGTCCATATTTGATATGATATTTTTCCAGAAGTGTCTTGACAAGTAAGGAACAAATCTATAAAGAGACACAAAGTTTTAAATATCGTATTTCTCAAATAAATTCTTACATTTCTCGTTTTCATACCTGATCTGCAATCACCATTAAGATCAATGAAAGCATTAGAATGTGGTTCTGATAATATACAAGGTGGAACATCTGAAGCAGGTTGCAAAGGTAATGGCTTCCTAAAAATCCGTATTAAAGAGTTTAACTTAAATTGACAAATCTTTCTCATAATTTCAACATAAAGAGTTGTTTAATTTTCTCACACTTGAAATAAGTCTGTTGTTCCATTATTATATATATTTTGCCATATCGAAAGTTCGTTTACACCTTTATCAAAACTATGTCCTATTAAATCAATTTTCATATCACCATCAAAATCAAATGGAATGGGTTGTTGATATGTAGCTGATGGTACATTAATAAAGTTAGGATCTAAAAAAAAAAATATGAATATTATTTTAATTAGAATCATACATGTAAATGCAATGACATTATAGAAGTTAGATATTACTAAATGTGTCATTCCCATATCCAAAGTATACTCTCATAAAAAGCGGCTCTTTTTTTCTATCGTTACTTGATGGATTAGTTTGTCCCATAACTAAAATATCCAAATTTCCGTCATAGTCATAATCTCCAGGTAATATGTTTGTAATTATAAAACTATTTTCCTCATTTTGTGATATTGTTATATTTGCCGAAGGTGATATAGTAAATTTATAATCCGCTATAATGGATAAATTAAATTAATTATATATAAATACATAAATCGAAATATTTGTCAAATGTCAATATACCATGATCCCATAAATAGACACTTAAAGACCTTTGATCTGAACTTAATACAAATAGATCTGTACTAAATAATTATTAAGAAATCGAAGGATGTTTGGTAATTCAGTTGATAAAATAAAAATTAAAATATGCTACTGAGAAAAATGCTCACTATTTATCAGAATTGAAATCTGCAAAAGCCGCTACTGTCCCAGATATATCTCCTAAGCCAACGTCTTTTAAAAGATAAAGCGCACTTGTTGTATACTTTTCACGTTGAAATAATGAATGTGTTTGAGGTAAAAACATTAATAAGACTAAGCAGCCTAAATATCTTACAAAAACAGGAACCATCGTAAAAAAGACTTTTTATAGAATTTATATAAAAGATTAGGTATTTATTGATAAATTTCAATTACGAAAGGTAATTGTTTTCATGATCTCGACCAAAAAGCCAAAAAACTGGTTTTATTGGTAATTGGATTCGTCACTATTAATTAATAGATTTCTTACAGCTATATTCTTTGGAATTACTTCAAAAGACGGTGCGAGCTTTCTTTTTGAGGCTTAAATTTACTATTTATATCCTTAATGACGTGGCTTTTTATGCAAGGGCTTACATTAATTAAGAATAAAGCTTAATAGATTGTTATAACTGCAAATTTTGCGTAACGTTCGATTTCAATTGATTAATACCTTTGGGGTAAAAAAAAAAAAAAAAATATAACCGAAAAAATTCAAGGCTTTAATATTATTTAATAAATAATATAATTTATATAATTTAATATGTTTTATAATATTGGAATTATTGAATTATAATTAATAAATTTTAATTAATAATAAAATTTTTAAATATTAATTTATATTTTTTTTTATTATACAATTAAAAATAAATTTATTATAATATAATATATATACAATTAAATAAAATTTTTAAAATTTTTAATTATTTATAAAGAAAATCTATAGTAAATAATAAATATTTTAATTAAATATTTTTTTTTACTTATATAAAATTCTTTTATTTGAGAAAATCATTATAGTTAACAATTCTTATTACAATCAACTCTCTATAATCACCTTCGTTATAGTCACATTATCTATATAGTCACTTTAATTAGTTGTCTAAAATTTTTATATATAAAATCTACTTGTCTATAATCATATTCTATTTATAATCATTAGCATACTCTATTTCAAAAAATTTTATATTAAAAAATATTGTTTATAGTTATATAAAAAGTTTTTTAATCAATAAAATTTAGATAAGCATTAAAGCAAAAAGGAGAGTTTTAAGGTTAGAATTTAAAGAAATAATCAAGTAATAATTCAATTATAACTTCAAACAAGTTATTGCTATATATCACAAGTATTAATTCTTGATTCTAAACTTATTTAGGCTCAATTTTAACTATCTATCATTTGATAAGCTACTTATTATTTTTATAGTATTCTATTATCAAGAAATACATTATTTATATAGCCTTTAGAACATAATTTTAATTTCTTAAAAATTTATGCTGTATAGATTGCTATTAAAAAATATTAAGATATATGAAGAATAAAAAGTTCTGAAATATTCTCAATATATCTTTATAACTCTAAATTATATACTATTATTTTATAATATTTTAGATTTAATTCTAAAATGATTCTTTATAATGAAAAAATTTATGCTTAATTAAATTAATTGTAAATTTTTATATAGCAACTTTACATTTTAACTATTTTTTTAGATTATTTATGCTATATATTATTATAAAATTAATTTAAAAGTAATTTTTTCATGAAATATTAGAATAAAAAAATCTAACCAAAAATTTCAATATATGAAAAGTCTAACTAAAATTATATAATAGATTCACACTTTAGCTATTATTTATATTATATAATATATAAGAACACAATCTAAAAGGTGATTCTTCATAAAATATTAAGACAAAAAATATAATTATAATTTTTAATACATCTAAAAACCTAACTAAAAATTGTTAATTAATCTAGGTTCTTTAAAGTCTTATCACATAATTAGCAGTAAAAGATGCATGTAAATTAAAAAATCTAAAGAAGATAGATCTCAAAATCTAGCTATTTGTAATTTCTGATACTTGAAATTAAGTTTGAGATATCAAGAATTAATCAATCTTTTATAGCTGTTCTAGTTCAATTTTAATTTTATTTAGGATATTAAAACTTTATCAAGAAGCATTTATAGTGAATATGAAATGGAGTGAAGCGTTGTGAAAGCTGGCTTAATTGTTTTTTTTTATATATATACCGAGCTGGAAATCCTAAAGCAGCTCGCCCTTGTAATATTTATTTGATCTACATTCCTTCGAAATTCTCCTTTTTACACCTTCGTGATAATTTCTATTTCGCCGTTTTAACTTTATAATATTCGCATTTGTAATTTTGTTTATTACTTTATTTTTTAATTCCCGATTTTATTAGTATTTTTATAATTCAATTTTATGTAATAGTTTCATAATTTGCGCAGTTTTAATTAATTAGAATTATTACTTGACATTTACATAGTTTAATATATTAAAAAAGCAAAAGTGTAGTGCGCTAATGCTGATGCAACACTGATTAATTTGATAATATTAAATATTTATTATGAAACGAATATATTGATTGTGTTACAAATTAGCAGAGAAATAATGCATGTTAATAATATTAGTTAAAAAAAATATATACGAGCGTTTTATAACATTATAATATTTTGTATGTA